GCATCCCTTCCCCTCCCTCTATCTATCGCCCTCTGAGCTTGTGAACCTTGCAGCTGTCAACTGACCCAGTTTGTAGCTTATCTACACGATTTGTTATCTTGTGCAGTCTCACAGAGACTACGTTTTAAATCAACTGTAATCATGAGCACGATAATTGTTTGAATGTTAATAATTGGGGAACGTGCTCAAATACATTTGCATATGTATATACACATATCGTATGCATATATATATATCGAGTATAGAACTAGATATATTAGCATCTCCCACTACAATTGCAATACGTTTCAATTTGCATGTGTGTATATATGTGTGTGTGTGTTTGACAATTGCAATGCAACAAATAGAGGTAGATGCTAATTTATCAAGTGCTATGCTACGGTTTTCCATCTGACAGAGCTGCTGTGGCAAACTGTCAATTAGCTGTGTAATTGTTTGGCTCTGTCAACGTCACCTGCTCTGCTCTGCTCCACACTGCTCTGAGATGAGACTAGATGAGGCAATCGATTGCCTCGCAGATTTTCAGGCCATCAACAGCACAATAATTAGCTGCTAGAGCACTTGGGCTTGCTGCACGCCACTCGAAAGCAAGTTGACTTAAGCTGATTGCGATTTGCAGACTGTCAATCGGGGACGAGTCGACTGTCGATTTCAATCTGCATTTCCTGCTGTCGCTGCCTTGGTGTTGCTGCTTCATCACACTTTAACTAGCAGTGAAAGCCAATCGATTTTCTGCCATGTGCCGCTTTTTTGCACTTGCCATGCAAGTGAATTTGAGTGGAAGACTTGTAAAGCGAGTGTACCTCAGCGCGCGCCGAAGGCTGCGCTCCTCTGCTGCATCACCTCGCAGCTGCACCTCTTATTCTGTGAGCTTAAAGCCGAAGAGGTCTGCTCTTGCCATTCTCTGCACTCGCGCAGAGCTCTATTTATTGTTGCACATTTATCCAAAAATAAAGACCTGCACTCCCTCCCACACACACACACACACACACTTAGAGTGCCATTGCTGCTGAATGGCAAATTATAAATAGTTCTCGATTTATTTCAGTTATCAACTTTTTTGAACATTCTCAAAGGACTCGATTTTATTGCAAATTTCTAGTCCAGGCAACTTGTGCATCGTGGCCAATGTCTGCTCATTGTTGTATCGCAATTACATGCTCAACTTGCAGGGCTTGAGCTGCACTCATCGAACCCGGCATGAATAGGGCAATGGCTGGAAATCCACAATAAAAAGAACGTAATGAAAGTAGCAAAAAAAAAAAAAAAACGGCTCATGTTTTATGGTCAATAAAAAGCGGAGCCTTTTGGGTTTATTGAAACCCTTGGACTGTGCGGCATTGAAAAATCTTTTCCTGCCATCTGACCCTCGTCAAAAGGAGACGACCTATCACTGAAAACTGAAATGCAGACAACATAAAAATCAGAAAGTACCATTCTCATGGCAGACAGAGAGCGAGAGAGAGAGAGAGTCAGTTGGGGAGAAAGAGAGGGAAACACAAGATGACAGACATATATATATACATATATCTATAGAGTGGCAAAGGACATAATGTTCTGTGCAATTATATGGCAACATCCATACAAACGTTGCGGCTGCTGTGGTTAAGCTTAATGGCTAAGTAGAGGTGTGAAAAGACCAGAGTCGCTTCCCCTAAGCGGCTAAATGGCAGACGCACAGTTTCACACCTACATAGAATTGCAACTGGCCAACGAGTTATGAGTACGTGTGTGTGTGTGTGTGCTTGTGTCTGCATTCCCTTTTGTGGTTTTTATTTGTGACCCAATTTATGGCCAGGCTAGAATGAGCGCATTGCACCCAGACATTGTGTTCATTTGTTCTCATAATAACGTCAGGCATCTGCCAACAGCACGCACACCCACACACACACACCCACACGCACAGAGACACATACCCAACTGGTTGGTGGTATTTAAATCCAGCTAATAAAATTCAATTGCAGCGATTCTCTCACCTCTACTGATGATTTAATTCAGTTGTGCCGCAGCAGAATAAACGTTAGCGTTTACATTTTTAGCGAGGATACAAATTTTAATTATAGTAAGATAAACTCATTATTCACGAGTTCGCTATCTGATTCGCTATCAGAAATATATCCGCCCCAAATTATAGACACATATTCGCTGAGCCAGCAAATTGTTGTTGAACTATTATTCGAGGTATATGTAATTCCCTGCGCAGTCCGGTTGGCCGGTAATCGATGCCCTTTGTCACGCCCACCGGCAGTGATACAATCCTAATCGAATTCAACAAATTATTGGCGGAAATGTTTGCACATTTCAATTGGCACCGAGGCCCACACTGTGTGCGATTCTGTTTGCATTGTATTTGACCGACAACAGCCAGTGGGCAAATGTGGGACAATAAACGCTACATTGTGATATATCAACAATGGCTAATGCTATTAATATTTTATTATTATTATGATTACTACTGCTTCATGGCTATGCCGAACAATGGCAAAAACTGGGCATTTTCTGCTCCTCCTGTCGGCTAATGGAGAATGCCGAATTAAATCCAACACAGAATCGCAGACAAATAATAATGGCAACAATAGCGTCACTGTGTGGTTGTATGGGTGTGTGTGTGTGGGTGTGTGTGTGTGGGTGTGTGCATTTGCACATCCCAAGGCAACGGAAAAAGTCGGACGTGTGGATTAATAATTCAATTGGATTGCACAATGCGTCGCATGCGTTTGGCACTCTAAATGCAAAGTGCCTGCCAGCGCGAGAGCTTAGAAAAAATAAGCATAGCTGGTAAGTGCACGACTAGCAGATATCCTGTACATATGCTAATAAGCTTATATATACAAATTAAATATTTATTAATTAATTTTTTTTATTATTTTTATTTTGATAATTTTT